GACGCCGACTAGGAAGAGATTATCCCCGTTCGATGCACGGGCACAGTTTCACGGGCACGGCGCCGCGGTCCGACCGGCACGCGGCCCCTCCGTCGTCGCCGCGGCCGCGTGTGCACGAAACCGTACGCTCGGCTGTGGTTTCGCTAGATACCCGACCCGGCCCGGGTGCCTACGACTCGCACGGCTGGGGCGCCCGTCCGACGCCGACTAGGAAGAGATTATCCCGGTCGATGCACGGCACAGTTTCACGGGCACGGCGCCGCGGTCCGACCGGCACGCGGCCCCTCCGTCGTCGCCGCGGCCGCGTGTGCACGAAACCGTACGCTCGGCCGTGGTTTCGCTGGATACCCGACCCGGACCGAGTGGCTACGACTCGCACGGCTGGGGCGCCCGTCCGACGCCGACTAGGAAGAGATTATCCCGGTCGATGCACGGCACAGTTTCACGGGCACGGCGCCGCGGTCCGACCGGCACGCGGCCCTCCGTCGTCGCCGCGGCCCGTGTGCACGAAACCGTACGCTCGGCTGTGGTTTCGCTAGATACCCGACCCGGCCCGGGTGCCTACGACTCGCACGGCTGGGGCGCCCGTCCGACGCCGACTAGGAAGAGATTATCCCCGGTCGATGCACGGCACAGTTTCACGGGCACGGCGCCGCGGTCCGACCGGCACGCGGCCCTCCGTCGTCGCCCGGCCCGCGTGTGCACGAAACCGTACGCTCGGCCGTGGTTTCGCTGGATACCCGACCCGGACCGAGTGGCTACGACTCGCACGGCTGGGGCGCCCGTCCGACGCCGACTAGGAAGAGATTATCCCCGGTCGATGCACGCCACAGTTTCACGGGCACGGCGCCGCGCGTCCGACCGGCACGCGGCCCCTCCGTCGTCGCCGCGGCCGCGTGTGCACGAAACCGTACGCTCGGCTGTGGTTTCGCTAGATACCCGACCCGGCCCGGGTGCCTACGACTCGCACGGCGGGGGCGCCCGTCCGACGCCGACTAGGAAGAGATTATCCCCGGTCGATGCACGGCACAGTTTCACGGGCACGGCGCGCGCGGTCCGACCGGCACGCGGCCCCTCCGTCGTCGCCGCGGCCGCGTGTGCACGAAACCGTACGCTCGGCCGTGGTTTCGCTAGATACCCGACCCGGACCGAGTGGCTACGACTCGCACGGCTGGGGCGCCCGTCCGACGCCGACTAGGAAGAGATTATCCCCGGTCGATGCACGGCACAGTTTCACGGGCACGGCGCCGCGGTCCGACCGGCACGCGGCCCCTCCGTCGTCGCCGCGGCCGCGTGTGCACGAAACCGTACGCTCGGCTGTGGTTTCGCTGGATACCCGACCCGGCCCGGGTGGCTACGACTCGCACGGCTGGGGCGCCCGTCCGACGCCGACTAGGAAGAGATTATCCCCGGTCGATGCACGGCACAGTTTCACGGGCACGGCGCCGCGGTCCGACCGGCACGCGGCCCCTCCGTCGTCGCCGCGGCCGCGTGTGCACGAAACCGTACGCTCGGCTGTGGTTTCGCTGGATACCCGACCCGGCCCGAGTGGCTACGACTCGCACGGCTGGGGCGCCCGTCCGACGCCGACTAGGAAGAGATTATCCCCGGTCGATGCACGGCACAGTTTCACGGGCACGGCGCCGCGGTCCGACCGGCACGCGGCCCCTCCGTCGTCGCCGCGGCCGCGTGTGCACGAAACCGTACGCTCGGCCGTGGTTTCGCTAGATACCCGACCCGGCCCGGGTGGCTACGACTCGCACGGCTGGGGCGCCCGTCCGACGCCGACTAGGAAGAGATTATCCCCGGTCGATGCACGGCACAGTTTCACGGGCACGGCGCCGCGGTCCGACCGGCACGCGGCCCCTCCGTCGTCGCCGCGGCCGCGTGTGCACGAAACCGTACGCTCGGCCGTGGTTTCGCTGGATACCCGACCCGGACCGAGTGGCTACGACTCGCACGGCTGGGGCGCCCGTCCGACGCCGACTAGGAAGAGATTATCCCCGGTCGATGCACGGCACAGTTTCACGGGCACGGCGCCGCGGTCCGACCGGCACGCGGCCCCTCCGTCGTCGCCGCGGCCGCGTGTGCACGAAACCGTACGCTCGGCTGTGGTTTCGCTAGATACCCGACCCGGCCCGGGTGCCTACGACTCGCACGGCTGGGGCGCCCGTCCGACGCCGACTAGGAAGAGATTATCCCCGGTCGATGCACGGCACAGTTTCACGGGCACGGCGCCGCGGTCCGACCGGCACGCGGCCCCTCCGTCGTCGCCGCGGCCGCGTGTGCACGAAACCGTACGCTCGGCCGTGGTTTCGCTGGATACCCGACCCGGACCGAGTGGCTACGACTCGCACGGCTGGGGCGCCCGTCCGACGCCGACTAGGAAGAGATTATCCCCGGTCGATGCACGGCACAGTTTCACGGGCACGGCGCCGCGGTCCGACCGGCACGCGGCCCCTCCGTCGTCGCCGCGGCCGCGTGTGCACGAAACCGTACGCTCGGCTGTGGTTTCGCTAGATACCCGACCCGGCCCGGGTGCCTACGACTCGCACGGCTGGGGCGCCCGTCCGACGCCGACTAGGAAGAGATTATCCCCGGTCGATGCACGGCACAGTTTCACGGGCACGGCGCCGCGGTCCGACCGGCACGCGGCCCCTCCGTCGTCGCCGCGGCCGCGTGTGCACGAAACCGTACGCTCGGCTGTGGTTTCGCTGGATACCCGACCCGGACCGGGTGGCTACGACTCGCACGGCTGGGGCGCCCGTCCGACGCCGACTAGGAAGAGATTATCCCCGGTCGATGCACGGCACAGTTTCACGGGCACGGCGCCGCGGTCCGACCGGCACGCGGCCCCTCCGTCGTCGCCGCGGCCGCGTGTGCACGAAACCGTACGCTCGGCTGTGGTTTCGCTAGATACCCGACCCGGCCGGGTGCTAAGACTCGCACGGATGGGGCGCCGTCCGACGCAGACTAGGAAGAGATTATCCCCGGTCGATGCACGGCACAGTTTCACGGGCACGGCGGCCGCGGTCCGAA